TAAGTGATTTTCTGTTGTTCCATATCCTTCCATTATTTGTTTCGATGCTGTGCAGTGGCAACTCGTGGTTTTAACCACTTACCTGATGGGGCCAGTCATAGGGACTTTGGAGGCTAGTTTCCTACCCTGCCATCTCCATGCAACCTGCTCAAGCTTGTGGTGGTGGAGGATAGAGGGTCTACCCTGTGCTCACCCTGACCCTGGGACTGTCCCCAGTCAAGACAAATTCATGCCCAGGCCAGCTTGTCAACACAACTACTAGTATCTCCCTCAGCCATAGGCTGGGCCCCCCAGACTCAGGAACCCAGGAAACACCATTCTGGGAAACCCATCTATAGAGACATCTGGAGGGAAAAGAAGTTCTGGTGGCCCTTAAGACATTTCCAAGTGCATCTTCCCCATCCTCACAGGGCGGGGGGTCATTTCCCAGCAGGACTAGCTCTTGGTACATTCTTGTCCCCAAGACTTCTTGTTCCAAACTTCCTTTACCACCTTCTTGTGGGTGAGGGGCCAATCTCAGGATGAATTGGGAGAAATATGACTTAGTACCTCACATGAGGCATGCGGGGCATGAGTGTTTCTAATGGGGTTCCACAGACACAGCTCAGTCTGTGAAGTCGAAGGAAGGTCATATCTCCATTTTCACTAACTTTGATGGAGACTTGGCATTACCGTCAGCTATACTGAAGAGCAGACTACAGGGACATTAGCTAAGCTGTGACCTTAATAACAGTGGAAACTACAGATGTCGTATGTCACCTTACTATTTCTGCAGATATTTGAAATGCTGCTTAAGGTCACAACAGTGTTTATATTGTCTCTGGATCTCGTCATTTAGTGCAACAATCTATATCACTTCACTGCAACTTTCAAGAACGTTTTAGCAAAAATATTTTAACATAATTTGATTCTTTCTGAACTTTTAAGTGTTTTACTTCCAAAAGGGTTATTTGGGGGAATTCATTGGTATTATAGACTGCTAACAGCCCATGACCCATAAAAGGTTACAAACACCCCCCACCCAAAGGAAGACTTATTAGCTTGACGGATTCAGTCTTTGGGGAAAATTTTTAGTGGTTCTGAAAAATGAAGAATTTTCGATGAGAGAAGGTAATTCTGAGAATTTGTCAAGATTCCTGGAACGAAAAGAAGTCTCAGAGACAGGTGGCTTCCCTCATGAGACACTCTGTTCAATGGAAATGTGTCTATCAGCGATAAATGCCATCCTACGTGTGACAGCATGAACAATGCCATCCTATGTGTGATCAGATAAACAATGCCATCCTAAGTGTGATCAGATGAGCTCTGACAGATGTTCCACACCACACAAGCAACAGTGCTGTTAACCAGGAACTCTTGTATTGACCCCCCCCAAATACCACAATATGCCTCTGAGATGTCTGTCACCCCAAACACAAATGACCACTTTTTTTTTTTATCACTTTAGATTAGCCTTTGAAATTATTTTCCTATAAATAGAAAAAAGAGAGACTATGATACGTGTTTATTCAGCTGTTGGATGTTTGGGCTGGTTTTAGCTTTGGGTTTTGACAAGCAAAGCTGCTGTGAAGATCCAGACACAGGTCACTCTTCAGACACGTCTTCGTTGGAGTTACATTTTTGTAAGCGTATGCTGGGACTGGAGGGATGGCTTCAGTGGGTAACGTGCTTACTGTGCAAACACAAGGACCTGAGATTCAATACTCAGCACCCCACAGAAACTGGGCATGTAACCCAGCACCTAGGTGGAGGGACACGGAGACGGGAAGATTCCCAGAGCTTGTTGGCTAGCCAGTCTAACCAATTGGTAAGCTCCTGCTTAGTGGGATATCCTGTCTCAAAAACCGAGAAGGATGGCCAGTGAGACAGTTGGGTGGATGAAGGTGTTCGCCGCTCAACATGGATGGGGTGACCTGAGTTTGATCCCTGGGATCCACATAGTGAAGGGAGACAATCAACTCCTACAAGTCGTGCATGCCCCCACACAAAATAAATTTAAGTGCAATAAAAATCTTATTAAACGAGGTGGAGAATGACCGAGGAGATACTCAACATTAATTTGTGTCCTCCATACACATATGTATTCCCAGCCAAACATGGACCCCTAGACCCATGTGTACCCCCAGCAACACATGTACCTTCTACATGTGCACCCACAGCCACACAAGCACACACAGATACACAAACACCAGATCACTTTGCATCCTCGAGCACAATGTATGCCTTTCAATCGTTCCACATTCTTTGGCTGAGCTGTCCCAGGGATGTGTGGTGGTGTGGTATCTCTCAGCAGTTTTAATTTCCATTTGCCTGATGATTCTTGATATCAGGATTTTTCTGTGTGCTGTTGGTCATTTGCGTACCTTTCTTTGGCGATGCTTATTTCTTCTATCCATTTCTGTGAGGTTATCTTTCTTATGTATTATCGATGCAAATCTTTTGCCAGACTCGGGAATTGCAAATGTCCTGTTTTGCCCCTGCTCTTCTGATTTTCTTAATGGTGTTTCAGGAGCAGGCATTTTCCATTGTGATGAAGTCCGGTCCATCACTTACAACCATTTTTTTCCCAAAGGTATATTTTGCATGCTCCAAAGATGTCAAGATTTCCTCCAGTGTTTTCTTCTGGGAAGTTTAGATTTTTAGCTCTCCATTTATGTGTATGAGAGTTTCAAGAGAAGCTAGTGCATGGGGCAGGATGGGTCAAGGTTTGCTTATTTGGGGGCATGGACATGCAGCTGCTTCCACACCATTAGTTGAAAGGCTCTTTCTTCCCCCCACTGGATTGGCTTAGCACCTTTGTAGGGTCAAGGGACCACTGAGGTGTTGCCTATTTCTGAATGCTATTCTTCTTTTTTATTGACTTCCATGTCCAAAATTTCATCACAGCTTAATTTTGGGAAATTAAAGATGGGAAAACTGGAACTGACAGACAGAAGAGCTTTGTACAAAGGCAGATAAAATAAGTCAGAAGCCAGCCTAGAACATGGCCCTTCTAAATATGCACCTCGGAGGAGGGGAGTTGGGGGTGGATGTGATCTAAATACATTCTATGCATGTATGAAAGTGTCAAAGAATTTGAAAATGCATAGAAGGTTTACCAGAAGTTAGAAAAATTAAGAAGACAGTGATCTATCCTTATCCCAATGGGTACCCAAAGCCACAGAGCATGCCGAGAAGTTAAGGCACTCTTCATATGCAACAAGCCCACCATTTCTGCAGTTTTATGTGCAGGGGCACATAAAACTAGCAGGCATTTCTCCTTCCTTCCTTGTCATTTCACCCAGAGGACATTCCTTCCTTCTTCCGGCTAGATCTTAGTAACATCAGCAAATGACTCTTTTCTTCCCTTACATTGAGACGTTTTCTCGATTTCCTTAAATGAAACACTCCATGGCCTTTCTTTGTCAAATCCACAGGGCCCGCATCACTACTAGTGTGCTTTGGGGTTGAAATTAAGTAACAGGGGTTCCCTGAACATAAGCACTCACAGATACGGTGACAGCCATTGAGGCTACTAAGCAGCTGTGAGCAGGTGGTGTGTGGGGATTGAGGGACACTGTTCATGTAAAGGTCTGAGTCACATCCCGGTGGGACAGAGTAGAGTGGCATGAGATTTCAACATTCGTGGTAGAACCATATGCAATTGGAAACATGTAAATTGCTTATCTCTGGAATTTCCCATTTAATACTTTTGGAGCACGGCTGACTGGAGGTAACCAAAAACCTGGAAAAGAAAGCCAGGGTTAAGGGGAGACCACAAAAATAAAGAACAGCGGGACTATGGATGCTAAGGAGCCCACCAGCCTGCCTGGAGGGTAGCTGCAGAAGGAACAGGCCAGCCAGAGTCTTCATGGAGCATCTCTTTCCCTTTGCACATGTTGCGCCACACCTGCAGGTTCTCTACTGAAACATGGGGGCGGGGATAGTGCCGTCTTCACACGAACAATGAATGCCAGGTTACAGAGGCAGTGCTGCTGATGTGTAGCATGCAGCATCTGGGACACAGCAGGTGTTCAGGGGGCTGTGATGGTCCACACTGTTACTCAGATCCTTGGTCCTGAAGTGGCTGGAGGGCTGACCCTTAGTGGTGAGGACAGCCTCTGTGGACCAGGGTATTCCATCTGCAGGCACAGATTCCTTCCTGACTCATCATTCTGGTCTCAAGTCACCTCCTCACCTCTCTGATCCCAGACTCTGTATCATGAAAGGGGAAAATCTTACAGCTGGAACTCTTAGGAAGAAGACCTGGCTGAAAGCCCAGAACAGCACCGAAGTATATGGCAACAAGAGGGTGGCTTCTTTCCCCTCCCAGAATGCTTGTCTCTGGAATCCCAGTCATGGATCACTTGGCAAAGTCCAGAGAACCTGCCCAAAGGATAAAAGTTGCATGGTTCTGCGGTTTGAATCTGCCCTGCCTCCCCAAGCAAGTGATTGAAACTGAATCTCCTGCGTGGGAGTGTCTGATGAGAGGCATTTAAGTAATGAGGCTCCACCTTCAGGCCTGCATTAACACCAACTCCAAGCAGTCTGGAAGCCTCAAGTTCAGTTTCTTATATTCTTTCTTTCTTGCCATATGATGCCTTCCACCATGCCAGACACCAGCCCCTCAATCTTAGACTTCCCGGTGTTCAGTGCTGCTCTTTGCACATAACCAGTTTCAAGTACTCTCTTACAGCAACACCGAATGGTTTAACACACATTGCATTTGGAAGCAGTAGAGGACAAACCTCTCCCATGACAGGTGTGTTTGTGGCTACTGTGAGTTCACACAAATTAAGGAGAATGCCTCAGACTCAGAGCTGCATGAGGCCAGAGGCAGTGACAGGGTGCAGAAATGAGAATAGTCTCAGAAGGCAAGAGAAAAAAGAAAGACAAATGTTGGTGCCACCATTTCTGACTATTAGCATATACACAAAAATGTGTCCACACTACGTCAGCCAAGTACAGGTGAGTTTTTTTTTTTTTTTTTTTTTTTGGTTTTTCGAGACAGGGTTTCCAGGTGAGATTTTATAACAGGAATCTTTATTGGACAGAATCACAATATATATAATTTCCCTTGTATTAACCATCAATTCTATCATAAAAATATATTACAACATTTGATATATATTCACAAAACACAAACCATTGTAAACAGAGCAGGCAGCACTGGCCTTGGATTCAAATCTCTCGAGTCCCATTTCAGCAGAATACAGCTGTTGGCAGGTGAGTCACAGGGAAGGTAAACGTTGCCATGTTGGGAGACAGAGTAGTGGATACTTAAAGATAAATGGAGCCACAGTTTCGTTCATTAAACTAGAAAGCAAAGTTAAAACTACAAATGACGTAAGTATGACACTAAACTTTTGATTCTTCTGGTGCTCAGTGTTCGGCTGTTGGTGCTGAACTTCCACCACCCGTGGCACACACTTACAGGCGTGCACGCTGGTGGGAGGAGCGTAGACTCTGCAAACACGAGCGTCTCCACCCATTTTCCTCAGACCCTCCTGGGGAGGACTGCAACACTGTAGAAACCCATCGAGCACTGCCAGAAATAGCTTTTACCTTTCCCAAATCTTAGTTTTCAGAACTTTTCTTGAAATGTTAAGACATAAAATGCATTTCCTGGTAGAATTCTAGCCTTAGCCTTGCTGGATGCACTTGACACTGCCCAGCTGTGAGGACCCGTATGTCATCTACTGGTGACTTTCTGGATGCCTCAAGCTATGAATGACACAAGCCTCCTCAGCTGCCTTTGCAGATAGCCAAAGCAAGTGAAATGCATGAAAACATTGGGGTGTAAAGCACTGGTCGTTAGTGCCCTGGTGCCCAAGAGCTTCCAGGATGGCACACTAGCAGTGGCCTCCTACCAGCTCCCCTCTCATCTGTAGGAAGTGATGCTTCTTCTACGGGATACTGGGCAAGGAAAATCTACTGTGCTTTCTTGGGGAGGAAAGATGGACATGGCTGATAGTGTCTAGTCTCATCCACTACACAGGATACAACACCAGAGGGAGAGTTATATCCACCCAAGAGCATCCTCACCAAATGAGAAGCCCACACATTCAGATGCAAGATTTCAATTCCTTCTCCCAGAGGTGCCTAAGAAAAGAACTCGATCCAATCAACATCGAGTTAACTGCCCCAGGAGGCGGGGAGGCAAGGCAAACTACCCTTTTGACTTGCTGTTTGCAACTCAGAGCAACTGGGTTTTCTGTAGGAGACCCTAATGGGGCTGGCGAGACACCAGATCCCATGAATGCCCCTATGCGCCAGGAGAAATTGTGTTTACACATTTCTTGTGAAACAGGATTGTTGAGGTTTGGAATCATTTCAGTTAGCAAGGAAACTTGGCATTCGAAGCTTTCTCAAGCAGGGCGGGTTGGTTACTATTAATAATTCAAGGAAAGGTTTGGCAACAGAGGAGCTGAAGAAAGGCAATGGGAGGTTGGGCCCTGGGGGATTGGGTGTTGGGGATTTTAGCCAGCCTGAGCAATTACTATGATCTGGTTCCAGTCACCCGGACACATTGCAGGAATGTCATTGTGATGGCCTCTGACCCCTTCTATTCCAAACTCGCTCTCTTTGGGTGTTGTGGAGCGTGGTTGAAGCCTGAGACTACCTGTCTCCAAATAGAGATTCTAGGCCCTTTGAAACTATCACATCATGACCTCTGCTTCCATACTAGGGAATAAGTCTAATGGTGACTATGTAGACTTACTGGGCACGTGTGAAGGGACATGGGAAATACCATGTCGCAGTGTTCCTAAGAGCATACACATCCTAGGGGTACACATAGGTCTTTGACTCTAAAATATCAATTGTTTAAAAAAAATCCTTAAATATTGGTGTGCATGATAAAACAGAGCTCTGCTGCTATTGGTTTGATTCACATCTGACTTTTAAATGTGAAGTATGTATTTACATGACACATTGCAAGAATGAACTGTTCATTCCCCTGCAAAGGAAGGTGAGGGTGTGGAATGCCTAATAAGTGTGAGGACAACCCTTGGACCATGGCTGTGCCACTGTACACCATGCTGTGTTAATTCTTCCATTTGCCCCTGGGGATTGGTAGCAGTAAGCCTCGGCCTGCATGGATATTAATTGTGTCACATTCCCCTAGAGAAAATGAAGACACACATTTGTCCCAACTTAGGATATCATCAGAGAAGGTGCTCAAAGAGAATGTGCCTGGGGGCTTAATTGTAGCTGTGTGGTAGCTCATGCCTGCAATAGCAGCACCCAGGAGGCTGAGGCAGGGGGATTGCTGATCACTGTAAGATAGGCTACAAGTTTGAGGCCAGTGTGGACTATATGGTGAGTTCAAGGCCAGCTTGGACAACCTGTCTTAAAAATAAGCAAATAAGTAAGTAAGCGAGTAAATAAATTATTAAACAGAGGAATGAACGCTATCATTAAAATGAATGTTGGCTTGGTTGCATACCAGAACTTGATGACGTGACCTTATTGCTGAAAATACTACACACATTAGTCACAGGCCATGGTAAAATCAATACTGACCAAGAAGCTTCTTCCTTTGTTGGCTAGCTCTCATAGTACTGGAAGGTGCTATGCAGGCTGCTGGGGAAATGTCATCAACAGTCTTAGCCATCTGTGAGTCTGATAACTATGATAAAAGACCAACATGGTAAGATTTTCCCATGAGTACAATAGTGTCACAAATGTTATGGGGTAACAATCTGAGAAGTCATGTTTGGGGAGTTTCCAGGCTCCAGGGTTGTGTGCATGAGAAAGTGTTGTTTTGTACATTTATACTATTATTTTGATAAATGGAAACAGCATTAAACTGCCCTCTTAATGTGTATCTTTCTGCTCATAGATTAGTGTGCCTTTCAGACCTCATCAGAGAAGTTTCCTTATGCAGGGGATGGTGGTCAGTGGAGAAACTCAGAACTGGCCAAAGTGTGGAGAATAAATGACCACAGAGTGCACAGTCAACAAATAGGATATCTGTGTCACACACACACACACACACACACACACACACACACACACACACACACACACACACACACCAATAAATAAATAAATAAAATTTTAAGAAAAGAAAAGAAAAGAAACTCAACATTGGTCTCTAGGATCTCACTTCCCTGAGCCTTCAGATTGGGCAGTTTTCAACCCTCAGAGAAGTCTATTTTTGCAGTAAATATAGTTTAATACAGAGACCCACAACTGGTCGAACTCCAGAATGTAAGAGACTCATAGCGCACTCAGTGCTAAATAAGACATCTATGTGACACCTCCTCCACCAAGGCTCAGGGACCATCCTTGAAGAGGGAGTAGAAAGATGGTCAGAGACAGAGGTTGGGAGGACTGCAGCAAACAGATGTCTTCTGGATATGACAGTGACCCATTGTACATATGAACTCCCGGTGGCTGTGGCTGTATTCACCTGCATGAGATAAAGCCAGTCGAAATCCCAGCGTGGATCAGGGAGGGGGTTACAAAGCCCCACTGCTGTGGGATGTTCTGTATGGCAAATGCGTTGCTCTGATTGGTTAGTAAATAAAACACTGATTGGCCAGTAGTCAGGCAGGAGGAAGTATAGGCAGGACAAGGAGGAGAAGAATTCTGGGACGTGGAAGGCTGAGTCAGAGACACTGCCAGCCACCGCCATGACAAGCAGCATGTGAAGATGCCGGTAAGCCACGAGCCACATGGCAAGGTATAGATTTATAGAAATGGATTAATTTAAGATATAAGAACAGTTAGCAAGAAGCCTGCCACGGCCATACAGTTTGTAAGCAATACAAGTCTCTGTGTTTACTTGGTTGGGTCTGAGCGGCTGTGGGACTGGCAGGTGACAGAGGTTTGTCCTGACTGTGGGCCAGGCAGGAAAACTCTAGCTACACCCCACTCTCTGGCTGAGGAGCTATTGGCAGTGGTGACGGCTGAAGGGGTAACAGTTTTCTTCTGAGGTCTGGCCCTGGGAAGATTGGCCATGCTCTGGTAGACAGCCCTATTACCCCCCACACACACACACACTGGCAACACCACTTGAACTCAATGGTTTAAAAAAAAGAGTACATGAAGTTGGGAGGGAGAAACAGTTTCAGGAGAGGGGTGGAAAGAATTGGAGGGAAGGACTAGGTGGCAAGTAAATAAGTAAATAAAATATTTAATTAAAATGAGTGTCAATTCCCTCCGAATGAATTCAATTCCTTTGCCTTTCCCCTCTCCCTCCTTCCTTTCCCTTTCTTCCTTTCTTCCCTCCTGCTTTTTCATTCTTCTCTTTTTGGATAGCTAAATATCTGTGGATTTTTCTCCCTATCATCTTTTTTTTTGTTTTCTAATTTTGTTCTGACTCCAAGAACAGCCACCTTGTTGGCCACAGATGGCATTCACTGTGTCTTGGGAGGCACTGCCCACTTCTGAGCAGCCCCTGGACAGTGTTTCTGAATGCACACTAAGCCCCACCCTACTGGACCTTTACCAGGCTGGTCCACATCTCCTACATCTCACCCCATGCTGCAGCAGCAGCTCTGGCCCAATGCCCACTGCCTCTGCAAGGTCTTCTAGGGCCTCCCGTAAACAGTGCTGAGCAACACCCCTTACCTAGGCCCACATAGACACTCATCTCCTCCGGGGGCCTGCCACAGGAGACTCGGGCTTACGGAACTATGGGGTGACAGGCGAGAACTCCCACAGCTCTTGGTCAGATCCAGTTTTACCACCAGCCACTCAGCAGGTCATTGCAGGAGCCCATTCTTTGGACCTCTGGCACTGAGCAGTCCCTAACTTCTGGTGTCTGGGTCAGGCTGATAGACACCACCTTAAGCTCCAGCTGTGTCCTCTCTATATGCAGGATCACTGAATTTTGACAGCTCCATTCCTCAGGACCCATGGCTCCTCCCTTCTGGGAAGCTGACTGCCCAAAGTGTTCAGCTCCTTCGCTTCACTCTGTGCTTGGAGAAGGAGCTTAGGAGGCCTTCTAAAGACGGGAGGAAGAGTTTGGGTGGAAGTGGAAGCTGGCAAAGAAGGTAAGAAACTTACAAGGCAGGCTCCCCGGCCACACACACAAATTCCTCCACTGAACCTGTAGAACAAATTGGAGATTCCGAGCTCTTCCCTCTCTCCCCACCAAAGGCTCTTCACATCATCTCCATGTGAGTCCTGACAAGTCAGGGAATGAGAAGCCTCACTTGGGTCTTGGGGGAATACTGTAGGCTACTGATGCTCATGAAGATGATAGACCAAAGTTTCTCGAAAGTGCAAGTTGACAAGGAGTCCTCGACACCTAAAACACTAATCGTGTAGTGTCCCTGAAGAGGGGCTATCCCTGCTGGGACAGAGTTGAAAGATCACCTGAGTCAGCTGCCTGGATCCCAATATATAGATCATAGAATCCCAAGTCATGCCAGCTTACCTGAATTCACCTCTGAAGGGGGAACTCAGGAGTTCATATTGAAGCACCTCCTTTGGTGACACTTGGGGATGGGGATGTTTAATAGCCACTGTCTCCACTCAGACCCTCAGATTCTCAGGAAGGCAATGGGTACCTCACAGTCTCCAGATCTTTCCCCATGGTGTTCATGGGCTGGATGATATGAACTGATCCATATAGTTTCTGGCACCTTATAGAATATTCTTAGGAAAATCAGGCAACTTACTTAAGCCTGTGTTAAGGTCAAATCCTGACAACACACAGCCTTCAGGTTCATCCAACAACCACATCACAGCCAAGCACAGATGACTACCTGCATCTAAGCCTGGGAAGGAGTGACAGCCAGGACACAGGCTTGGCTCTATTCTGTCTACCTTCTTTCAAGGAGAGAGAGACACATTAAAAAAAAATCTCACAAACACAAGGCAAAAGATTTATTGCTCACTTTGATGGGGGCCTGAGCTGAGCCCTGGAAGAAAATATAATAGAAAAAAAGCCGAGGAGGTCACCAAGCCGTGCTTGTCTCCTAGTTGAATGTAGACAAATGTCTATGGGGGATGAGCTAGCCAGACACCCAGACATCAAGGGCATACCATTCAGCAAGCATCCTGTATGCCCCAGGGCCCCAGGTTTCTGAGACCCTGACCTCCAAGGAGGGGTGCAAGAGAAATGCAGATGGGGCCAGAGAGATTATAAAAGGGAAGCAGTGTGTGTGAGACCAGAACTGAGCCCACGGGGTGGATTTGGGATCTGGAAGAGGCGTCTCTATAGGCATCACTACCAAACTTCACAAAATGGTTTCACCTGCCCAGTGGCCCTCACATGCAAGCTCAGTGAATGTGACTCTGGAAACTAGTGGGAGTCAAGCAAGTCATGGAGACCTTTCACCTTGGGAGACAGAGTCTTGTTTCATATACCTCATGCCTGAGAAAACCACACATTGTTTGATGAATTCAATAGCCAGAATGAGGTAGATCGTTCAGATGGGAGCAGTGACCGGGGGGGGGGGGGTGTGTTTCAGAAATGTGCAGAATGACACTAGATGTTTATGGGAAGGCAATTGCTGCAGCATCGGCTGGTGCCCATTGCCAATGGAGCCGCTTCCTTCTCGCTTCCCTTGGGGTTTTCAAGCCTGTGCCTAAGTGATAATGAAAACTCTCCATCAATGGGCTTATCTGGGGTTCTTGTCAGTGGCACGATGCCAATGTAACGGGTTTTATTAGATGGTAAGCAGTTTCAGAGGCATAGTGAAAATTACAGCATACAGCCTTCCGGATAAGTGGTGTCGTGGGTGGCAGTTCCTGCTTCTTAGCTAGGGAAGGGACAAAGAGATCTCGTTGCAACTCAGGGTGCAATATGTTGCCTACACAGAGTAAGCAGAGAAAGGATTTGTAGGGTTACTCTCCCTCCGAACCAATATGGGAGACGTGGATGCCCTAAATCGCCTTTCCTTGTCTACTGACCTCACCCTCTGGGTCCCCATCCCTGTCTTGCCCAACTTCAGCAGGATTTGTGTGAAAAGGGAGGAGATTATTTTGTGGGTGCTGTCTTGGGTCCCTGCTTGATTTGAACTTCCCTAGCACTTTGAGTATTGGGACAACAGAGGGTAGACACAGCTGCTCTTTGCTAGGAAAGCTATAGAAGTGACTGTTGTGATTTGGGCTAGATAGGACTGAATGGACTCGAACCACGACGGTTTTGTTCCAGAAAGAAACATGTGGCAGTGTTGTGCTGGTAGATGGGAGACAACCAGCTTGGGGGAAAGGCCTGATTTACAACACTTAGTTATTCTGAGTATATAAAAACTTCCATCATGGCTAATTTCAAGCTACCTGTGTGACATCCCTTGTCACAGGAGGGAGGGAGTGTACCTCACCAACTCCCCCGTAAGACTGGCTGGGGAGAGATGGGTACAAAGTCCAAACAAGTATCCTGAGGAGTCCCCTCTGGACCCCAGGTTCTTTTTCTCTGTCAAGGCAGGTGTGAGCATACCTCTCCCAGCAATGGGAAGATATTAAAGTCCCCTTAGATATTACAACTATCTCCATGGAAACTAAGAAGCCCGACAACACTAAGCCTGATGGAGCTGTTTTCTAAATGAATTGCCAAGAGTTAATGATAGTCCATCTTTTCAAATAGACAAGCAGACATTTCTCTGTCTTTAACTACTGGGGCTGCCTGGCAGGGAAGACCAACATTCTTCAGACTGGTCCCTGGTGGGTAGTTCCCTCTGTACTTCTAAGACTAGGATGTGTGGAGCTATAAGGAAAGAAAGATCCTTCTGACCTGATGGCTTCCCACCCTTTCCACCCAGAGGAGTCTCCTACAGGGCCGAGAAACAACTGCTCTGAGCATTCTCAAGTCAGTCTGAAAGGATAAGATGGGAAGAAGGCATGGACCGTGTGTGTGTGTGTGTGTGTGTGTGTGTGTGTGTGTGTGTGTGTGTATGTGTGTGTGTATATGTGTGTGTGCGCATATGTGTGTGCATGTGTGTGTGCGCGTGTGTGTGCATGTGTGTGTGCGCATATATGTGTGTGCGCGTATATGTGTGTGTGCATGTGTGTGCGTGTGTGCGTGTGTGTGTGTGTGTGTGTGTGTGTGTGTGTGTGTGTGTGTGCAGGCATGTGGGGACTAGAGGTCAATCTCAGGTGTTGCTTCTCAGCCACCATCTGCTTTGTTCTTTTCTTTCTTTCTTTTTCCTTTTTTTTTTTTTTTTTTTTTGAGATCTGTCGCTGGCCTGGAGCTCACCAGTTCAGCTAAATCTTGGCTGACCAGTGAGCCCTGGGGAGCCACCTCTCTTGCTTCTCCGGTGCTAGGATTGCAGGTGCACGCCACCATGTCCAGTTTGCTTTTAGTGTGGATTCTTGGGGGTCAGACTCAGGTCCTCATGCCTGGTACAGTAAGCATTTTACTGGCTAAGCTACTTCTCCAGTCCTTAGTTTTTAATGAGACCTAGACAATGGCTCCCAGTGGGTTGGCATGTATATTATAGAAACAGCATCCTATACTAATTGCTCTCTCTCATCAGTGGCACAAAGCACTCTTGTGGTGACCTTGGACAACCCCCACTTTCTCAAGACAGAGTTACAGAATGAGGGTCATGAACCATGAGGATAATGGTACCCAGTATCTGAAAACTAAGACTGCATCTCTGTTATGTCAGCTCCTGTGCATCCACCTCACAGGATGTGATGGGCAAGATGTCTAAGACAAGAGGGAGTCCTTCCTACCAACTCAGATCCCAGATGGGGAGGTAGGACAGACCGGACACCTTCTTCCTGCTTCACTGGGCTCGCATAGCTATGGCATGCAAATCAGAAGAAGGTGACTTCCTTCTCAGATTTCAGAGACTCTAACATTATCTATTACCTGTCTATTGAGACCACTTTCATGCTACGATTGTCAATACACGCAAACATCAGTTTGTTTGATGGAAGAGGGACAAAAGTTGAATCCAATTTATCATTCCTAAGACAACTGGTAGGCAGCAAACTGGTTGTTAAACACTTCCCCACTGAGTGCAGAGCCCAAAGGTGTCAGCTGAGCACAATGTAGTCGGCACCAGCTAGATAATATTTGGGTTACAGCAGCCACCACTACCAAGTGGAAAAGAGAGGCCATATTAGATCTGGGGCCAGATGGCCACAGACAGCCTCACTTTCAGCATCACTGAAATGTCCTTTGGAGCATGGAGCCCCATGACCAGTGGTTAGCAAACAGGTGAGCGTCATGCCCTACACCTGCCACCAGCACTCTGTGTCCTTGACAGTGACTAGCCTACCATCCTTTGGGAGGCCTTTGGTGAGTCTAAATGCTCAAAATACACTCCCAAGAAGAAAAGTCAGGACATGGCCCATGGCCATCCTTTGGTGATGGGACAGTCTGATAATCTACCCTGGAAGAGCCAAGAACTTGTTCAGACATCAACAACACTGCAGTCACCAGGCAAGGGTGGCAGTTCATGTCCATCCAGGAGTCCCAGCCCACCTCCCTTTGCTCTGTCCACCTCATCCTGAACTCCCCAGCAGGAGAGTGGTCCTTCATTCTGACACTGGCAGAATATTCTGGCTGTGAGAGTCACCTGTGAGGCCCACAGAACGGGAGCGGATGGAGCGTCTATTGAAGATCCTGTTCAGAAGATCCTTGCAGCTCCTACGGTATTGGTGTCGAAGCAAGGAGTATACGAAGGGGTCAGATGCAGCCTTGCTGTAGGCCAAGCATTTGGACAGCACACCCCAGTGGGAGCCGATGGGTGCTGTGGAGAAGAGTTCCACCAGCCTGTGGAGAGATGGGAGCGTGTTACTGAGGGGCATGTAACCATGTCAGGTAGCCACAAAAGCAATAATGATGCACACGGATGAAAATGATGGCAACGGGCATTGATTAGGTACATACTCTAAGATATGACAAGCTCATGTCCCCAAGCTCATAAGGGCCATCAACTCTAAAGGCAAGATTTAAAGCCAGTTCCACCTCTCCTTCTGACCCTGGGCTAATCTTAACACTCCGTAGGCCTGCATGTCTTGCCTGTAGAGTAAGGAAATCAGATGGGCTTGTTTCTGTGATCTTTTAATCCATGAGAGTCCAATTTGGCTCTGCCTCAAACTCAGTTCCGCCTTCCTGAGGAGTCTGTGTGGGAGGGAGGGCTGAGAAAAAGCTTGGCAAACTTTCTGCAAAGTTCCAGGAGAGCATCTGCCAGTGAGCAAGAGCTCTTCTTAGGACTGGGGTCCTGATGGCCTTGATGACAGAGCAGTCAGGAGACCTGAAAGTGGCCATCATCTACTGAGGAGGGCAAGGCAAGATCCATCCTGTGTGTTCAAGAGTTCAGTTCTTCGAGTTCTCCTGGTAGCCATGGACCTCACTGAGCGGTGTAAACCACAGGCTTCGAGGGCAGTAAGAATTCCTGGGTCCTCACTCCTACCCCTGATCATCATTACTCTCTCCCAAGTGTTCCCAGCCCCACTAGTCAGACTTGAGAAAGTATCTAGCATTAGCATAAGTTCAAAGAGACCCACAAAACTCGGAGTTTAGAGACCCTAAATCATCTCTCCTCCACTCATTGTCAAATGAGGAAGTGGAGATCCAGAAAGAAGAAGGACAGCTGCAAGCCTAGTGTCTGTTTCCACCCAGGTTCTGGCAGCTGGCCACCACCTGGGACATCTCCAGGAGAGCAGGCAGTGGTGGCCCTCAGCTGGGTGGGTTGCTTGGGAGAGGGCTCAGAGACAAGAGGGACAGAGGGTCAGCTGTGACTCTGCTGCCAATTTGGTTTTCCTAGAGAGTGTTCTTGGGGTTGAGATTGCACAATGGGTCTTTGTTCGAGTCAGTTGAAGGAAAGGACAGGCTCTGTGTGGCATTCCCCACCAACAGACCTCATCCTGAATGGATCTCTAGTAAGTCCGTTCTGAGGGTTTACTTGGCTTATACTTCCATACGACTGACTGTTCATCATCCAAGGAAGTCAGGATAGAAGCTCAAACAGGGCAGGATCCTGGAGGCAGGAGCTGATGCAGAGGCCATGGAGGGGTGCTGCTTACTGGCTTATTCCTCGCGGCTTGTTCTATCTACTTTCTTATAGAACCCAGGACCACCAGCCCAGAGATGGCACCACCCACAATGGGCTGGTCCCTCCCCCATCACTCACTAATTAAGAAAATGTCTACATCCTGATCTTCTGGAGGCATTTTCTTAATTGAGGCCCCCTCCTCTCAGATGACTTTAGCTTGTGTCAAGTTGACATAAAATTACCCAGCTCTCCATGTGATGCCAAATCATGTTTCCCAAATGGCCTGTAGTCTATATACTGTTGAGGTTGGTCCTAGCATCATGGCTCTCCCCAAAGGATAAGTAGGGGTGTTTGTGTGTGTGTGTGTGTGTGTGTGTGTGTGTGTGTGTGTGTGTGTGTGTGTGTGTATGCAGGTACGCATATGAATGTGTGAATGCATCCATGGAAATCAGAGAACAACCTTAATGTGTTCCTTCCTCAGACACCTTTCACATTTTATTTGGGACAGCAGGGTATCTTGCCGGGCTGGAACCTCACCAAGCTGGCTAGGATAACTGTCCAGCAACTTTGCGGGGAACTGCCTGACTCCATCGCCCATTTTGTCCTTGCTGAGGTTACAAGCAAACACTGATCCACCCAGCTTTTGACATGGGTTCTGGGGCTCTGAACTCATGATTTATGATTGCGTGGGAAACACATTGCTGTTTGAGCCATCCCTCTAAACTCCCCAAAGGAATTTTTTTAAATGATCAATTATCAAACCATCCAGCAAGATCAAAAGTAGCACTTGGGGGCTATGTAGGGTAAAATTATAGTATTTGATTCCCACAAACTTTATCTGAGGTCTGGACCTCCCTCAGATAATTTCCAGTTTGTGTTTCCTTTGGACCAAGCTCTCACTGTGTGTGCTCTCTCGTCTCACAATAACCCTGCAGAGAAGGCCTCATTCCCATCTTACAGATGAGGCCATTGAGGTCCAAAGAGTTTGAGCAGCAAGCCAGGGTCTCCAGTCAGAGAAGAGCAAATCCACCCTCTAAACCTGACTAAAGGCCATGCTGGGACCTGGATCTCAGCATTGCAGGGTGACAAGAAGCACTTTAGGGACCTTTTATCCCCAAGAGGCCCTTTCCATGAAGTCACGATTTGCTGTTTTAAACATTTATCTCTTGTTGCCCCCCATAAAACCTGTGACAAGTTCTGTTTTAAAGACATAATTTGAACCCTGGACTTTGGGTGCAGAGACCTCATGCTTCCTGGTTCCAGGCTGCCTCACGGGCTCCTGCATTGTTTCCAGCTCCACAGTGTGCCTGACACCTTTGCTTTCAGATACTGGAGGTAATACAGCACGTGAGATACTCTCCGCACTTCCTCTGCCCATCACCGCTCCTCGTGCCTTTGCTCTTTCTGTTCCTGTCCCTGTCTGTCTGTCTCTCCTTGTAACATTCTGCACACACAGACACACAGACACACAGACACAAACACAGACACACAGGCACAGACACAAACATACAGGTACATACACACACACACACACACACACACACACACACACACACATGCACAGGCACAGACACACAGACATACAGACAGACACACAGGCCCAGACACACAGGCCAGACACAGACACAGATACACAGACACACAGGCACAGACACAGACACACAGATACAGACACAGACACAGACACACAGACACACACACACACACACACACACACAGAGTGTATGTTCATTAAAGTGCAATGCAAGTCACAGAACATTGCTTGGGAAAATAGCCCAATTATCCTCAAGGCTTCTGGAGACTCAATCTGCATATGTCTGAATATGCAAGGGCCTGTGAGCTCTAAGCGGATGCTTTAAGCTTTTATGAGACATTAGAGTGGAGGAGTCATTTATTAATAGAACATTAACAGTCGGGAGCCACCTGCACATTAACCTCTCTCCCCTCTCCATCATTCCATTACTCTGGAAAGCTATAATAATGGGGCCATCAGATCCGCAAATGCCTCCAAACCTGATCCTGATGATTTACGACAACTGTAATTATTTGTAAGTATAGATTGCTACCCAGACGACGATAGGCTTACAATCACTTGAAGACATGCGAACATTAATTCAGAAAATATTTCCCAAGAGCCTATGGGTAGGAATGTGCAGTGGCCCTGAAGGCCCTGCCTGGTCACTCCAGGAACAGTCTAACTGACCCAGAGTTCAGAGGAGCTACATGACTAAAACAGAGATATTGCAGGCCTCCATTAAGAGCTCTCGCAAAAAAAAAGAAAAAAGAAAAGAAAAGAAAAGACGGTGCCCGAATAACGCCTTAAGCCTGGCTTCCACATGCACACACATGAATTGGCACACACATGGACCTACACATACACATGCATGCATGCATGCACACAGCAGATAACTTGAATTTTTATCGTACTTCTTATCCCAGTAGAGAATTGCTATGAAAAGAATTGACTGCATTGTTTTTGTATCATGCTAAAATCTTGGAAGTTATAAACCTGAAGTAGGTGCACCTTCATTTGGACGGGCAGGCCACCCATGTCTGGTGGCTGTCGTGTTAGAAAACACTACTCTAGACCCGATTCATGCTGTCTTCTCTGCTTCAGCTGTTACTCCTCCTCACACCCACATGGCCACACCCACTTCACAAGCTTTGTCCAGTAGCCTGGCCAGGAAGCTCCCTTCTGCCTCAGAGCCCCGGGTTCTGGCCCTGCCAGATGGAATGGGTCTGACTAACTACAGGCTCTATTGGCAGGGCTAGGGTTACTACCGGGGGCTCTTGAGGGTCCCTTCAACTCACGCTTCATCTTCAGGGCAACTTTTATAGTCCGCATAGAGAAGGTGCTGGAGACACACTCAACAAAGTGATGGGAGGTGAGCGTGAGTGCTGTCGTGAGAGATTTGCTTAGGGTAGTTCTGCGTACACACAGAGAAGACAAGTGAAGAGGTGATGAGATGGGGTGGCTTCCCCTGATCCGGGTTCTGTACTGGAGGAGGTGATGGGGTGGCTTCCCCTGACCTGAGTTCTATACTGGAGGAGGTGATGGGGTGGCTTCCCCGACCCGGGTTCTATACTGGAGGAGGTGATGGGGTGGCTTCCCCTGATCCGGGTTCTGTACTGGAGGAGGTGATGGGGTGGCTTCCCCTGACCTGAGTTCTATACTGGAGGAGGTGATGGGGTGGCTTCCCCTGATCCGGGTTCTATACTGGAGGAGGTGATGGGGTGGCTTCCCCTGATCCGGGTTCTATACCGGAGGAGGTGATGGGGTGGCTTCCCCTGATCCGGGTTCTGTACTGGAGGAGGTGATGGGGTGGCTTCCCCTGACCCGGGTTCTATACTGGAGGAGGTGATGGGGTGGCTTCCCTGACCCGGGTTCTGTACTGGAGGAGGTGATGGGGTGGCTTCCCCTGATCCGGGTTCTATACTGGAGGAGGTGATGGGGTGGCTTCCCCTGATCCGGGTTCTATACTGAAGGAGGTGATGGGGTGGCTTCCCTGACCCGGGTTCTGTACTGGAGGAGGTGATGGGGTGGCTTCCCCTGATCCGGGTTCTGTACTGGAGGAGGTGATAGGGTGGCTTCCCCTGACCCAGGTTCTGTACTGGAGGAGGTGATGGGGTGGCTTCCCCTGACCCAGGTTCTATACTGGAGGAGGTGATGGGGTGGCTTCCCCTGACCCGGGTTCTATACTGGAGGAGGTGATGGGGTGGCTTCCCCTGACCTGAGTTCTATACTGGAGGAGGTTATGGGGTGGCTTCCCCTGACCTAGGTTCTATACTGGAGGAAGCGAGACCTTCATTCCCCTGGAAATGCTGCTTATTCTCAAGCAGGGTGGACAGTTTTGTGAGTGTTTTTTAAAACTCAATTACATTAACTCCATTTGAATCTGTTAGCAATATGACTGAAACATTATTGCCTGGGCACTATTGGAAGGAAATAGGCTATAATAAAAAAGGGGCAGAGCAAGGGAGGGGGGATTGGAAAGGGGAGGGAGAGAGAATACACTAGGAAATGAGATTAACTCTGAGAAAAGCCTCCTTGCCGAAAGTGGGAGTCACATTACTTATTCTCTGAGGATTCAAGTTCACCTCCTCAGTTCATGACCTCCCTTCACTCTGAGGTCAAAGGGGAAGGGTCTCTGTATACTTTCTTTCTCACCCACATTTCCTGACTGGCTAGATCACCTTCAGTCTCGGGGTGTCATGGGGACAGAAGATAATGGCCCAAGAATCCATACAGGCATGTCTGTGTCACACACTCCAGCGCTCCACATCCTTTAACTCCAGGATACCACACTGTCTTCTGGGGGCCCAGAGAGGTGAGGGCACCGGCCCAAAGTTGCCTAGTGGAAGGGTAGAGCTGAGGAGGCCTCTCTGTCTCTCCGTGTTAGGTCTTATGCAAAGTCCTGATCTAAGCCAGCTCTGCCTTCCCAGCTGAGGTATGGGTTGAGATCACAGCTTTTCAGTCAGGGTGATTCTGGTCCTGGGGAACACTTGGCAATATCTGGAGACTTGGTTATCAAACTGAGAACACTGGGGAAGGATAGGGGTGTTCCTGGTATCCAGTTGGTTGGGACCAAGGAGCCCATGGTACATCTTACAATGCATTGGGCAGTCCCTCTCTGCCAAGAGTCATCTGTGTGCAACACAGCGACAGTACTGAAGTCTAGTGCAAAGTTCCAGAAGGAAAAATCGATGACTCTGCCCTGTCCTGTGGTCGGACCACCGAGTGACCCACATGCATAGCTCCAAGTCCTGTGTTCACAGTGAGAGACAGACTGAGTCCGGCTCCCCACGAGGAAACCCATACCGTGGAGGGCAGTGGGTGGCACTGTACTTAGGCCTGGGCTGTCTGAGGAGGAGAGGAGGGGGCTAGAGAGGTGAGCAAGAATCCCTGTCTGACTGTCTGTACGTTCTCGTGGGTCCTGTGGGCGAAGGACCGTCTCTTGGCCTGAAGAAAGAACTGGAGGTCATGACTGAAAGTACAAGTACCCAGACTGGGCTCTGTGTAAGGACAAGTGGGGAGAGCAGAGAGGGCAGTCACAGTTGGCTTAGCCTCATGGGGAACAGGAAACTGGGTGGCAGTGAAGAGGGTGCCCATCTGGACTCCTGCAGTACACTAGCTGTGTTCGCTCTCTCTGTCTCTCTGTCTCTGTCTCTCTGTCTCTCTCTTTCTCTTTCTCACACACACAGACACACACACACACACACACACACACACACACACACACACACACACACAGAGAGAGAGAGAGAGAGAGAGAGAGAGAGAGAGAGAGAGAGAGAGAGAGAGAGAGAGAATGAAACCATTTGAAGACTCAATCAAAGCTCCTACCTCCACATCTTAATAGAAAGAACCACTGTCCTTTGTGATCTCCCAACTTCACAGATCACAGAACTACTTAGGATACAAGGCTGTAGGATTCCACCCTACCCCCCACCACCAGTCGACAAAGCAGCTTGGGAGAGGGAAGCGAGAGGGGAGGGAATCCTTTTCTTTCTTCCTTTTTCTTTTCTTTCTTTCTTTTTTCCCCGACTGACACTGGCATGGGCACCTCTCACAGCCGGAGCAGGCTAGCCTCAGCAATGCTGCTCCCTGGTGCCAGTGAACTGCAGCCCTGCCTGGCTGTTGGTGCACTAGGAAGAGGACAAACAGACAGTCATTGGCCTCACAGCACAGCCGCAGGAGTGGTGGCCTGCCTGGAAGGGCAAAGAGAGAAATGTCTGCTTTTATTCGAGTGGCGGGGATTTCTGAAGTAGACCGTTCAGGGACTGGCTACCCAGGACAGCGGGCAGTGGGACCCTGCACTGTGCAGCACTTCCCTCCATCTTTCCTCCCTGTTTCTTCTGGCTAGTGCCTCCTGGAGTATGAGTGTGGGGTGAAGAGTGAGAATGAGGTTATCTGGAGATAGAGTGAAGAGCCTTCCACCGTGGGGTACTGAGGTTAACACCTAAGCGTCTGAGACTGATTACGGAGAGTAATACGAAGGTTTCCCTCAAATCCAGTTGATCCCCTATGTGGAACAGCTGGCTCGCTTCTGGGTATAAGACCAAGAGAAACGAAATGAGACTCCCACAGGTACCTGCATGCTGTATTTACTGAAGCACCGTTCATGGCAGCTGAGGCAGAAACAAACTGGGGCCGCAAACAAACAAAGAAAATGTGGAATCGATACACAACAGGATGTCATTCGGACAAATGGGTGGAGCCAGAAGACACGATGAAATAACTCAGACAGGTGCCACCTGTTGTCTCATAAAAAAAATACCTTAAAAAGCCCATCAGAATATGCAGCAGTGATGCTGAGGAGATGGGATGAAGGGGATGATGGAGGAAGGGTAGATAATGGGCATTAAAACAGACATGATGAACATGTTCTCACATTCTACACCCCAGTGTGGGGGGGGCCGCACTTCACAACAGCCTATTACATATGTTGTAAATAATGAACAGAGAGGTGCTTGGAGGCTCCAAACACACGGTAATGACAAGGAGATGGAGAATAAATTACCCCAATTTGACCATTACATGTTGTGTATGTGTAGTGTAATTTCACATAATGCCTCATAGGTTTGTGCAGTGATTACGTGGTAATCAAAATTGTGAAAGTTGTTAGAGGAACAGGACATGTTAACTACCCTGATTTGATTAGTACCCATTGAATACATGTATTGAATCATCAGGAGGTACTGGTAACTGTGTGTAATAAAAATGTTAATTAGCTGGGCGGTGGTGGCGCACGCCTTTAATCCCAGCACTCGGGAGGCAGAGCCAGGCGGATCTCTGTGAGTTCGAGGCCAGCCTGGGCTACCAAGTGAGTTCCAGGAAAAGGCGCAAAGCTACACAGAGAAACCCTGTCTCGAAAAACCAAAAAAAAAAAAAATGTTAATTAAAGGGCTAGAGATAGGTGAGTGGCTACAAGCTCAGACTGCTTAAGAAGAGGACCTGAGTTCAGTTCTCAGCAGCTCACAAGCCCCTATAATGCCAGCTCCAGGGAACCCCAAAACTCCCTTCCGGCCTCTACAGATACCTGCACTCACTGATACCAACACACAAACACAGACAGACACAGACACATAATTCAAAATAAATCTTTAAAATGTTAGTTATTGATCAGGGAGAGTCAGAGGCTGAAGAGAAGCATTCAAGTATTCGTTCTCAGCCTGCCATTCCCTCAAGAAAGACATGCGGCCAAGAGGGACCCCCCTCTGGCCCTCCGAGCCCTGGTCCTCTATTCACAGGTCAGCTTACCTGGTAATCACATAGGGGGCAAAGCACACGAGGAAGGTCCCTATGAAGGTGCTGATCTTTTTGGTGGCACGCTGTCGCCTCCGCTTCTGTTCCTCCAGACACCGCTCCCTCACACTGTACAAGACAGAGAGGAGAAGATAATTCATGGGGTGGCCTGGCCAGGACACAGGGAGGTGCTACTACTCATGAACTCAAACAATGGATTCTAGGCATGTGGCTATGAAGCTGGAGACCCGGGGTCCCAGTCTTGTGCCCTTGGGCAAGCTGTGTGACATTGCCAAGGTCATTATTTGTAGTGTAATGGCATACACCACATTTTATTGATGTGCTCTCTTATAGACAATGTAACATAGTCTATATGTTACAAATGGGATTGCTTGAAGAATTAAATACACAGTGCACAGTGTTCTGGTTTCCTTTCTTTTTCTTCAATAAGACACCCTGACCAAACACAACTCAGGAGAGGCAAAGGGTTTATCTGGCTCACGCTTTCATGAAACAGCCTATTTGGTGGAAGGCAGGAACTCAAGCGGCTAGTCACATCACATCTACAATCCAGAGAAGGAAGAAGCAAACAAAACCACGCTGCTTGCTTGCCTATGCCGCCAGCTTTCTCCTGCTTCAAGTTCAGAACCCTCAGCACGGGGGATGGTGCCACCCTTACGTCAATGAATCATCAAGACAATCCCCCACAGATAAGCCCACAGGCCTATCTGATATAAATAATTCCTCAACCGAAATGCTCTTCTCAGGTAATTCTAGGTTGTGGCAAGTTGACATTTAAAACCAGCCATCACACATAAAGATACAGAAGATGTATCGAGTGTAGAGTTGGATAACGCAATGAGTACAAATAGACAGGAACTCACATTATCACTGCTTATGTCACTTACTGATTCCCCTGTACAATTCTGGGGGGCGACACTCTGTGTGGTGTCTTTTATTTTTATCTTTACCATATTTAGTCCTACAGGGGCTATTTCCCTGCCTCTGGGGCTCACCTATTATGACGGGTTGGTGTTAATTGTCAACCTGACAGAATCCAGAACCACCTGGGAGATGGACCTCTGTGCTTACCTGGGGGAAATTATCTTGATTACATCCATTGACATGGGAAGACCCGTCTTAGTTGTGGGCATGTGCAGTTCCTGGCACATGATTCCTCCAGGGACTAAGATAGGAGAAGCTAAGTGACAGCCAAGTCCTCTTGACTTTGAGGATGTAGCTTAGAAGATGGAGTCAAGAGCCACTAATGCCTCTAATCACACCCTGTTCCTGCTCCACTGAACTGATCTCTCTTCACCAATAGAAACAGGGCATCACAGGCAAGGAGCATAGGAAAGCAGCTGTGCATAGGTAGACAGCCCAGCTCCAGGTTCCAGAAGCTCTATCTTGTAGTGTCCAGTATGGACATAGGTGAGCAGAGAGGGATACTGGAGGTGGTGTCGCCCAGCAAGTCACTTGGCAGAATCTGGCTTGGGTTGCAGTGACTTGCCCCTGAAGACAGGCTGGCCTGCTCCACAAAAGCAAGCAGTAGAGAAAAAGTTCATGAGCTGGATCCAAGTATGTTGTTAAAGTAAGGGCCACACACTGCTTCTAGGAGAGTGAGCATTTTAATCCCTAAATCTCTCCTCAACAGATTTCTTCTCAGACGGACAGTTTGGATAGATGGATCTGGAATCCTTGCTGGGTCCCTTCTTAATTTCTGCCTTTATATAAATTTATAGAGTTAAGCACTAGATTGGGGCTTGGAATCAAAGTTTCCCACTGTCGGAAAAATGTGTTGTTCACAACTAACACTACTAATTATTTTATAATAATGAATACTAATAATGGTCTGAGTCTCTACCACGTGTCATGCTAGATTCTGTGATGGGATTTCACATGTGTTAGTTTAGTTGGTACTCACAGTGTGTCTAGGAGCCAAGGACGATGTCATTACAGTCCCTATATTCAAGAGAAGGACATTGAGGCTCAGGAGAGTTAAGACATTTGCTCAGGATCGCACAGCACATTCACACGGCTCCTAAATGGTGACTATAGGATGGTCAGCAATGGATCAGGCACTGCCTCTGCTTAGCGCTGAAAGTATTCCATCCTAGACAGTTTCCAGGGAGCTAGCCTAGTTTCTGAGGGGGATCCTATATCTGAGAATCCTTCATCCTCGGCAAGCCAGGCTGGCAGATGATGGCAGGATCTGAATCCAGACCAGAGTCTGGAACCAAGCTCACCCCTCCCCCTAAATAAACAGACTATCTATGTCATCACAGGGGAAGTCCCATGGCCTGGCACGTGGTGGGCTTGAGGTCACTGAGCTCCTGCTCCATCCAAATCCCCAGACTTCCTGACCATGCGTGGATTTCTGTAGCATTTTCCACTAAGGCTCATGGGCTCCCTGTGATTGTGAAGCCTGTGGTTAGAGATCTGGGTACAGGGACATGACCAGCTCAACTGTCTTGGTTTAAAACTCAAAGTCCCTCATCTGGGAGTCTCAGGCTAGGGCAGAGAAGAACAGTGGTGACCACAGAAGCAGGAGGCTCAACGTTCCTCTTCACAACGGAGGTCTGTGTGCTCCAGTGTTCACAGATTCCCATGGATGAGTGGTGGAGTGCAGATTTGGGGTGTCAGCCATGTCCCCTGAACCATCACACAGCATTCTTCCATGACAACAGAGGAACTTTCTGGCACTCAGTAAGTAAACATGACAAATTCACTCAAAGGACTCTGCAAGGGGACAGGAGCCCCTGTGTTCCTGTCAGCCCTCAGGAGCTTTAGTGTGAGAGTCCTCTTAGGCACACTGCCTTAGGAGGGCCCTGCTCTCTTAACTCTGTGGCCTCAGGGAAGTCACCAGGCCTCTCTGAACGTGTCCCCACTTTTCAGAGGAGGATTTCACCAGCGCTATAAGTAGACCATTATGGGTTCAGACATGACTCACTGACTAGTAGAGTACTGAGAGATGGGGAGCTTCCTTATGCTCCCCAAGGAGTCAGGGTTCTGATGAGGGGCTGCAGCCCCTTCCCTGTCCATAGCAGAGCCTCTCTCTTCCAAAGCATGGGGAACTTAATGTCTATAAAGGCGTTGGGAGTCAGAGAGACAGACATTTGGATCACTGAAGGAAGGGAAGGCTAGAACTGTCGTGGGACTGCCGCTGTGACTCCCCCAGGCTGCACAGATCTTCAGAGATCTGCTCTGTTGTCTCTTCAAGGACAGGTCAAGCAGAAGGCACTAGGCAGCTGGGGCTCTTCTTTGGCCTTTGCTTCTTGGCTAATAATCTAGTGGTTAACTGTGAAGAGCCAAGGTTGGACTCCCAGATTCAAATCCAGGCACTTAATTATGGGGTGGCTTTAAGCAAGTGATACAGCCTCTCTCTACATCAGCTTCCTCATCTCTAAAAATGAGGGTAATGGGAGAACCTGCCTTGGAAGGTCACACTGTGAGTGACTGAATTAAAATATGGAAAGTGCCAAGAACGGTGGCTGACTCAGTGAACACTTAGGGAGCGCTAACCAAACTATTCTCAACTCAAACACTCCCTGGAAAACTGTATACTGTGGTCCAGCTCTGCCTTGGACCTCCAAGCCACAGGGTTTCCTCTTTCTGTAAAAGTCCTTCTTGTCCTATGCTATGTCCACAGGAGAGAGGCAGCTGTGGCTAGGGACTGTGCCAGGGGTATTGTGAACTAGCATCATGCCACCTAACACTGAGTCCTGAGTTGACTCTGTGGCCCACTTGGGGCTTACAGGGACATCACAGATTCTAATGTGGCGTGCCAGTAGGACACAGAGAGTGTCTGCAGAGGGTACTCTGCCCTAGGGCTGTGTTACTGCTGGGACAAAACAGTAGACTCTGCAGCATATGCCTACCCAAGCTTACAGATGGGGAGACCGGGGCTTAAAGGAGTGAAGGACCTGCCTGCCTTGAGAATCAGGTACAGGTGGGACTTCAGACACATGGGCACTGACTACCAGCCCAGTGCTTCCAGTTAGGGGTGTGCCACTCCTTCTCTGAGCTATTGTAAAGGGTAAGGCTGAAGCCAGCTCTACCTTTCCTTCCTGGGCTCTGCTGTTTCCTGGGTAATAGTGCGGTGGTGGCAGGAGTTGAGTAAGGTCAGGTGGCCCCATGTTTTGGGAAGCAGCTTGACCATCAGCTTAGCACCCCCGTCACTTAGGTATGAGACAGCTCACTGGGATCTCAGAGTGATAGGATCACAAACCCACTTGCTGTCATTTCCCTCACTGTGGCTTTGCAACCCTGAGATCCCTGAAATCTTGTGTCCTGTGAGCTGCCATTGCGCTTATTCTCAGTTGAGTACCCAAGTGGTTTAGGACGTGCCTAAGAAACATACCAGCAGTTTGGGGCAGAACCAAACCTCATCTCATATCTCCTGACCTGACTCTAGAGCGTTCCCCTTATCCTCACTGCTTCATCTGGTCTGACTGTGGCACCCAGAGTCCTTGGACTCCTGGACGAAGTCTGTGATGCAGAGAACATGAGGTACAAAACTCACTTAGGGAACCCTGATTGTAGTGTGAACATATGTGCTAGCCTGGAGTAGGAGTAGGGGGTGTCACAAGATTTGAGACCAAAGCAGATAGGCTCTCTGGCTTTCTGACATGTGAAGTCAAAGAGATGTACTCAGCAGGCTCCAGTAACAGCAACTCTGGAAGTATCTAAGCAGACAGTGATAGAAGCCTCTGAGATGGCTAAGTCCTCGATGATCTGAGATGTCCATTGTCCTACCAGAGCCCACACTTAGAGCATTCACAGGCTGGTCCCTGTTGGTTTTCTGGCTTTTAAGACATGAGACAAGATGTCTGATGGTGAGAAAGAGCCCTGAGTTTTCAGTTAGGATGCTGGCGTTATCAGTCCCTCTCTGAGATCTAGCAAATATGGTCCCTGCTCTGGGCCCTATATGTGAAAGCTGGAGCCCACACCTTCTACTCTAGAGTAAACTCCCAATTTTCTAGGGCACATAATCCTTGTCCAAATGCCTTGATTCAGTTTCCAAAATACATGCAGACCCCTGGTCCCCACCCAAAGGTGGGCTAATCTTTAGATGTACTCAGTTCAAGGCCCAAGGAGACCACACATACATGGAACATGACTGTATGACTTTCACTGTGCTCATGGTCCAAGAGAGGCACCTCTTGTGCTGGGTGGAGTCAAGAATGGAGAAGTAAGGTAAGTGGAACGCTTAGTGTTCTCTAGTCCAGATGAGGCTAGCCTCCAAAGAGCCTATAAATCCTAAATTTGTGCCCCATTTTTAGGAAGCATATTTGCCAAGATAGGGGAATTAGAATGCATTCCATGTAACCATCTGTAAGCTAAACTAGAACTTCTAAGCATCTACATAAATAGTTTGTATGCCTCTATCTGCCTGGTTGCTCCATCTATAAATCTCAAGGACAGACTTGGGTGTGGACCTGGGTATGAGCTACTTCCTAGAGTTCATCAAGAGCCTCTCTTTTGGGACCAACTTCTACCTCTGTAAAGTCAAGGGTCCAGTAAGATTCTGCCTCCTTGGCCAACTTCTGACATCCTGCAGAGTCAGTGCTCAGCCAGCCCCTGTGGTCATGGTTCACAGGATGTTGAGGGGTTAGAGAGAGACCCCAGTAATACTGTGAGGAAGTTCCCGTTCAGCTTGTAGGAGAGAGTCTCTGTCACCAACACCTTAGCTCCAGGAAGCCATCTACCTGGCATAGTGAGCCTGGTCTGGGCTGGAAAGAGGGCACTGGAGCTGGGCCATGAAGCCTGATCCGTTGTACCTGGCAGCAGCTGAACAGGTCTAACTAGAGCCAGCCCTCCTAGAGCTTTGACTGGGAGAACTGAACGACTGACACTGGGCAGGTGGAGAGCTGAGCGTGGACCAGATACCACAAAGTGAAACATGCTTCCCAAATGAGGTGACTTGGGAAAGGACCACAGAACAACAGAAAGAGGAGATGTCACTCTGGGTCTCAGATTTAGAAAAGAATCCTGCTGTTTAGGTGGTGATTGTAGCAAAGGGGTAAAGCTTGCCACTCAGCCTCCAGGAAAATCAGCTACCTCTCGTCACTTCCTAACAAATGGTACCTGGGCTCCAGGCAACACAAAGCAGGTCTCTTAGCTAAATCCTGGGGTATGCAGGGGTAGCTGGGATGACTTCCAGTGAGCTAAGACTCCACTTGCTCCTCTGGCTGTCCAAACTGACACCCTAAGACTACATAGGTTCTTGGCACCAAAGGATGTCATAGCCTGGGGTGGGGCAGGACTCCACCACAGCCTTCAGAGCTAAGACCACAGCTTCTCAACTGTGCCACTGAAGTGACAGCCAGCCCATCAGCTGTCAGGGAAGTGGACTGGCTGTCCTGTTCTGTGGAACCCACCTCCCACACTCCTGCTTGAGACCTCTGCAAAGGACAGTTTGTGTTCACCATGGAGTCCACGGCTCTGTGACCTGATGGAGCTTCCTGGAGAGTCTAGAAGCAGGGGCTCCTCCAAACAGCCCGAGGCTTAAGTCAAGGTTCTCTACAGAGCTGGCAAGGGCCTGGATTCCAGCCCAGTGTCTTTCTTTGCTTATGGCACCCCTAGATACTCTCTGTAGTTCTGACCTAAAGTCAGAGAGCCAGGCAGGAGGAAAGGAAGCCCCTGCCCCTAAATAGAATGCAAAGTGGCATCTACCCTCCTCTCTGGGGGATTAAGAGCAGAGATCAGGCTTTCCCTCTCTCTGAAAGAACTGGCTCCTCTCGGGGCTCCACTTCTCTTTCCCTCCACTGGGAGGCTGGGTGAATGGGCTTTCTAGGACTAGTTCAAGTCTGCAAGAGTTAACACTTGTCTGCATCCTCACAAGCTGCCCCAGCCCCAGCCCTGGAGATGGCCCTTTCCAAAGTGAAGGATGATGAACAGGAATGTTTCTGCGAGCGTGGCTGCAGACTTTCTCCTGAAATGACTCTTTGAGCTGCACAGACCCAGGCAGAGAGAGCTGATGCAAGCACATTCTGTTTAAGTTTCTGTGGGGAGGATTTTATGTAGAGAGGACTAGAGCAGCCTGTCATTGGGAATAACTGCTCAGAGGGGGACAGTAGACATACTCAGCCATGCCCTTCCAATGCGCAAGCATGGTGAAATTCAGAAGCTGCTTATTGCTCAAGGCAGGAAAGCCCCCCCAAGGGGCTTTTGCTCAGACTAACACCTTCTGTCTGTTTGCTGTACCCTGTAAGGCTAATACACATTGGAGTCCATACTCTTCCCTACCCCAAGGCTTCCTGAATCCTGGGGCTCTGCTCACACATAGAACTATAACTTTCCATCACCAGCGCTCTCTGTATGCTGTGTCTTCTGTGCCAAGTGGACTCCTAAGCTCTTATCTAGACTCCCGGGAAGCAGAGAGGGAGCCGGCTTTTAATGTATATAAACTGGCAGAGGCCACGGAAGCACCCTCCCTCTTGATGTTCTAGTCTCGAGAGGAAAGATGAAGTGAGCCCAGGACAGCCTGATGGACAGTTCTCTCCTTCTCTCCCTAAGGGACATCAAGGACCACAGAGGTTCCCAGCCAGTTCTTCCCTTTCCCCTCTTTGTCTTCTCCTGAGAAATAGTGGGTCAAGAGGATGGAGATGGGTGGACAGGCTTAGTTTCAGGAGGCTGAGGAACAAATTCTTGAAGGGACCTTGAGGCTCCAAGTCTACAAGACAGGGGACAGAGCCCTCAAGGGAGGCAAGACAAGCCCAGGCCCTCAGGACCTACCACAGGGCAAAGGTGCTGTGGATCTCTTTGATGGGGACTCAGGCACACATACAGGGAGATCAAGAAGCACCACACCCAGGGTTACAAGGACCTAGAGGAGTAACAGCACAGTTTGAAGAGTTCTTAAGGGTTTTCTAAGCCTCTATACACCCCCTCTCAGGGCCAGATCCAAACCCTTTCCAAGCTTTGCATACTGAACAAAGCCCACAGCCCAGGATGCGTATAAGGAGAAGGAGGAAGTTCTGGCTGGGATTTCAGTCCGGTGCTTCAGAAAGTGAAGCTCTGGGTACCATTTAAACATTCCACCCTTGCTTAATGCAGTGAGGTGGAAAGAGGATTCTCCCACGGCCCTACCCTGGATGCTGAGACCTTCCCAACTCACTACAGTGTCCCCAGAGCCATGGATCAGGCCTCTCACCTGGGGTGGATGTCCACCAACAGCACGAGCGTCTGCATGGTGATCACGTCGATGCGCTTGCAGTGGAAGCGGGCCACCTTGAGCACCTTGAGGTACGTGAAGCAGAGTACGATGAAGGAGAGCAGGAAGCTGAGCGCATGGAAGGCGCTGGTGAAGACAGCAAAGCGCAGGCGCTCCTCCGGCCGCCGGCTGCACAGCGTACACGAGGCATATAGCTGGTGGAAGCCGAGCCAGGACAGGGCGAGCGCGGTGGCCGGGAAGGTGAGCGCGTGCAGCCACGTGTAGGCCACCATGAACGCGGCATCACGGAGGCGCATCTTGGCACGGTAGCTCAACGGGAAGACCACAGCCACCCAGCGGTCGATGCTGAGCGCGGCCATGCTGAGCATTGAGTTGGCGGCCAGGAAGGTGTCGAGGAAGGCGGCCAGGCGGCACAGGCGGTCCCCAGCCGGCTGCCGCTGTGCCACGACGCCGGCCAGCGTGAGTGGCATGTTGACCACGGTGCACAGCAGGTTGCCACACGTGAGGTTGAGGGTGAAGAGCGCCGGCGCCTGGCGGCGAATGTCAGCGCTGTGCAGGAGGCAGAGCAGCACCAGCCCGTTGGACAGCAGCGACACGCCAATAGTGCCCACCAGCAGCCCCGCCAGGCCCGCGTCCCACGAGTTCATGGTGCGCGCCGGCAGCTGGCGCTCAGGGCCCGCAACCCCGCGCCGCCATGGCGCAGCCTGCTGCCGCCTCAGCCCCTCGGCGACACGGATGCCCAGAGACCCCTGGCCCCCGTCGCCATGGCTACCCGGAGGGCGTCCAGCAACCCAGAACCCCGCGCCAACCCCTGGGCCAGCACCTAGGGACGCAGGCACCCGGAGCCCCGCGCCACCTCCCAGGCGAGCACCTGGGTGCAGAACCACTTGGACTCTGGGTCACCTCACCACCGGCGGCGAGCACCTGGGAGAGCGGTCACTCCCAGCCCCGCACCACCTCTTGGCATGTCGCCCGGTGCTCCGCTGAACTCCTGTGGTACCCTGGGATCCTGGGTCGCAGGTGCCTGCGGTCACTGGCTTTGCCTCTGCCTGCACCCGCCCTCACCGGGTCCCTCTAAGCTCTGGCTCTGCTCCGCACACCCTTCTGCTCTGTGCCTTTCTCTCTGTCTCCCTCTCTCTGCCTCTGCGCTCAGTCTCCAGTGTGCTCTCACTTTCTGCTTCCCCTCCCCCGTCTGTCTCTCCCACCTCCAATTTTCTCCTTCCCTCTTGCTTCCCCTCCCTCCCTTTCTCCTTTCTCTCTTCTTTCTCTCAGGAAACTGGCTGCTTCTGAGAAGGAAATCCCACTGATAGACTCTCTCTCTCTCTCTCTCTCTCTCTCTCTCTCTCTCTCTCTCTCTCTCTCTCTCACACACACACACACACACACACACACACACACACACACACACACACACCCCACATTCACACACACACTTGGAAGGAAAGAGCCCTGCAGGCTCCCTTGCCGAGTGACTGGCTCCCTGTGGCTCCCCTCCTCCTCTTCCCTTCTAACCTCCCCAATATGAGCTGAGTCAAAAGAATCCAAGGAAAGAGAAGGATGCCTGGACACCCTCATGCCTCAGTGGCACTTGGTCGCGCCTAGCTGACCAGACCTTGACCCAGCCCCCCTGTCCCATAGCTGCCCAGCATCTGGGCTTGCTGCTGTAAGCTAAGACGAACTGGGGAGCTTGGTTAGGCTTCTGCTGAGCTGGAATGAAATTCACAGCTCTATCTTGCATTAGGACCAGATATCTCCTGAGATCAACCCGCCCCCCCATCTGTCCACAGGCAGCTGCTGCCCTACTGGGCACTGAGTCCCCAAGGCTTCATCCTATCACTCTGTAGTCATTCAGTTGCATTCTCAGACTTGGTGGAAGGACACTTGAGGCTCACTGGGACATCCCTTGGGCATGCCTTCAGCCAAGAGAACACTTTATCTGTCCATAGCCATCAGAAGCAGCCCTGGGGTGACTGGTATTGGGCACATGTGGTGTCCAGGACCAGCTGCTGTCTGTCCATTCTCAGTCTGATGAGACAGCAAGTTATTGATGGTGAGACAATAAGTTATGTTTATTAGGCATGTGGGTGAACTGTTTAGAGAATGGATGGCATGATTTGATCCGAATCATGGGAACTTGGAACATAAAGTGTCTCAGCCTCCCCTTGGGGAAACATGTGGGGACTGTGGCTCTCCTGTCCCTAGTCCTGACTCTGCAGTTTCAAAAGTGCTTGGTGAACAGATAGGTGACAACTTTTGGAGCTTCCTCAGCCTCTTCCCTTTCTGTGAGATGCTACCTCCTCCGGTGACCACCTACATTGTGTCTCAGAGCCTGGTGACATGGTCAATGATGACGGTACATGGCCGGCCAGACCTCAGTCAAAAAGAAGCCAAGCATAGACAGCTTCCCTAAGGGAACTATTTTGTCTCCCCCATCACACTAATTATCTCTCCTCACAGAGTTTCAAGTATGGAGGGGGCTCATATAAAGCACTGGGAAGGCAGAGAAAACAATGTCCTTTCTCCCCTGCACCTTGACAGGTGCTCATTAACAGTCATTGCAACAAACAACAGCCCTACACAGTGGAATGTGCTGGGGCCCCTTCTTACCAGCTCTCAAGGGTGCTCTGGGAGTGCTTTCGAAGCTCCCTTCACAGGCAGCATGCTAGTAGTTGAAACCTAGTATACCAGGGGCATTTACATCATAGAAACAAGCCAATGCCACAACTGCAACTCAGGGCCTCCTATTAGCTGAGCCTGTGGTTAAGCATTTACCAGCACATCGCTCTCCAGACCCAGGGCAAGTCACCCAGCTTCCCTCCATCTTGGCTTCTTTATCTCTTTTTCAGAGCTGTGTTGATACTGTATGGGGGTGGCTTTGCTTCTCAGGGAAGAGACAAGCAAGTAGAATACTGGCAATCTTCTCAGCTCTTGGTCTCCTCATGTGGCCTGCAGAATTCAGGTTGGCCCTGCATCTTCATCTCCTGCTCGGTTGAGGACAGCACAGTGGGTTGTCCACTGGCGTGCCTTCCTGCTCCCACAGATAGCCTTGACAAACCACCTCTGGGATGGGACCGGTGTTCAGGATTACTTCTGGAATAAAGCAGTATCTTTCGGGACATACCAATGGATCCTTCGTTCTTACAGTACAGTGTTCTATAGAACCACCTTAGATGCTGGTTAAAGATTTGGATTCCTGAGTCACCTCCTCCCAGGGTTTCAAGTCAGAGAGCCTGAGATTCTGCCTTGTTAACTAGCTCTACAAATGACAATCGGAAGTGATCCGGCTAGATAGCTGATGCCTCGTCATGCCCTGGACACAACCTCCATCAGTGGCCCAATGATCTGGCCTCACAGGACTACAGTCTTTGCAGGAAGCACAGACATTAAAACGTTAAACATTAACTAATCTATTCATAGCACATGAATTGCCAAAGCCTGCCCAAACATCACACTTGATTTAACCCTTGCAAGAATGAGGAGATGAAGAGTTAACTACTGCCACTATCTCAGAGGTGAGGACCACAAAGTACAGAAGAGTTATGTGACAGAATTGGCTACAAGGGCTGGCTTCTACTGTGTGTTCCAGAGCTCCCCAGTCACCTTCTCCATGAGATGCTTTTGGTCTATAACTTAAAAGAACCTCAACTTCTCAGCATCAAAATGATGTTGATAACCAGAGAACTGGGGCCAACAGTAAGAAAACAGTACTCTCTTCTCTCTCTCCCTCCCTCCCTCCCTCCCTCCCTCCCTCCCTTCCTCCCTCTCGCCCACCCAACCCCTCTCTCTCTCACATACACACCATTTTGAAGAGCATTTGCTCTCTGAATTCCTAAGGGCAATATTGAAAGGTTAAAATGCCAGAATAGAAATTCAGAATATTATAACTCAGTCTGCTGAGGAACCGAAGCTCATTTTCTTCTGCTTATTTAAACAAAATTTCCTGCTCCCACTGGGATTGTTGGAGGGCTGATCTCCATAGCGACCAGGTCCCCAGCCTTGTTGGCTTTATCTGGGGCAGTCTTCACTGAGTTCAGGTCTAGCATAGCCTTACACATTGATAATGAGGTTATAGGCACCGAACACAGCCCTATGTGGGATTTGATACGAGCCTCTGCTAACCCTCCAGAAGAGAATCTAAGAATCCAGCCCACTCCACCAGGGCCTGCAAGGTCTGGAGAATGCCTGCCAGGGAACCACACTGTGGTTCTTTCGAGCATGCACTTTCAAGCCAGAGGGAACTCAGCAGTGATGGAATGTTGATGACAGCATTAACATGACTCATAAAACGCTGTAACTGTGCCCCCTAGGGAAGCGCAGCAACAGGACTGACTCCGTAGAGGCAGAGGAATGCACACATCTTTGTCAATCTTTGCAGGAACTCTCCAGCATGTCTATCCTGAAGTGAAAGAACACTTCCAGAACAGGCAACGGTTTGCTCAAGGTCACTTTCAGTCAGTCACATCAGTTGACAGAATCAAGTGAATTAGTTGGAGATCCACATCTATTAGGCATAGACCTCCATGTTTTCCCTACTGCATTGTTCTCTATCACACACACACACACACACACACACACACACACGCACACACTGATGGGTTGCTGACAGAGGTGGTCCCTTCACAACTGCCTTTAGAGAGTGGTGAAGTGTTATTACAAGAACCAGACTGGCACCCATGTCCCAAGGGAACCCCAGTAGAAGTGCTATGGATATGAAGAACACGTATGTTGGTGGTCATTTGGGTGAGTAACCAGGGGATTCTAGACTTGTACAAGTTAAAGAGAGGGTAAAGATTCTGGGCATTCCATATGGAAAGAAGTATCTGGAAAATGCCTATGACCTAATGCTGGAGACCCTGGAGAACTATGCCTCTGCAGCAGAAAGTGGACCTCAGGAAGGTGGGAGACACAGATGGATGTACCAGCTCCATGACAGGCACAAAATGTAAGGCCTGTTGAGATGATGGCTTTCATAGCCTGGAGCATCCAGTCAGCCTGCTAGCCTCCCCAACTGGGCCCAAAAGCAGGATTCCATTTTCAAAGCATTTACTCAACTGATATTTAAAGTGATCACAGTGGCACTGGAGTTTACCAGAGGCCAACTGCAGATGGGTCCCATCATCCAGATTAGGACACTGAGACCCTAGAAAAGGCATTCATTCTTTGCAGAACAATATATGACTCGGAGTGGCAGACTAGATCCTGGAATGTTGACCACGACCTAGCTCACTCCCCAGTACTCTCTCTATTATAACTAACCTGCTAGACTGGTGGCCGCTCTCCAAGTGCATGCCCTAGGGAGCCCTCATGCTGGGCAAACAGAACCAACTGTACATTCTGTCATTCCAACAGGCCACAGTCTCAGGTTCAATTGACCATAAATGCATGGCTTTTTGAGACAAGTTCTCAATTAGCACAGCCTGGCATCAAACTTGCTATATAGCTAAGGATGACCTTGAACTTCTGATCCTTCTGATTCCATCTTCCTAATGCTGGGATTGCAAGCATGCATCATCACACCAGGCTCATCTGCTCATTGTCAAGGAGAATTGGCTCACTGGCCCTGGACCTTTACCACTCCCGAGTCTCCATGATGGCCCCAGACCACACAAACCAACTATGTAAGGTGATAAGCTCAGAAAGAGGGAAGAGAAGT